TGACTCTCACCCATCGTCACTTCATCAGCTAACATTTCCAAGGACCAGGCCCGTGGGATTGTGAAAGAGCTCTTCCTTTATTCACTGGATGGCCTGGGGCACTTCCCTTCACCTCCCTAAACCTCCTGTCATCAGCTATGAAGCGGGGATTCGCAGTCAACAGCCTGCCAATGAGGGTTCAGTGAAAGCCCATACGCAGAAGCGCTTTGAATGCCCCCAAAGCCTTCCACCAGCTAAGGAATTAGCCTGCTGGCTATCCCAGGGCTGGGGGGCACCTGAATGCCCTCCATCAGTATCCCCTTCTCTCTTTGGGAAGAAGCCACAGGCAGTGGGCAAACTGTGGTGCTGGGTGCCAAACCCACCCTCCACCAAGCTGTGCCTCTCCTCCAGTTTGTGCCAAGGTGGAAGGGGGTTGCAGGGCTGGGGTGGGGGGGAGGGAACCACATCCCGCAAGGAGTGGAGGCAGCTGGAGCCAGCCGGTTCCCTGAGGGTTTCAGGACCTGGAATGTGATTTCCTAATTGTGAATTCATTCTGGCCACCAGCCTTACCCCCAACCCCAGGAATCTCAGCAGCAACAGCCTGGGTCTGTGGATAACCCCGCCTACCCTCCAGGCTTGGGTTCCTCAAACATTAAATGGAAGCAGAGTCCCAGCCTCTTATCTGAAGACGTTGAGACTGGGGGTCACTGGGAATTGGAGAGCGAGGTCACCTGGTCACTCACAGACCAATGTGATTTTACTCCAAACCACTTATCTTCAGGAGGAGGATTTGGCCCAGAGAAGAATGTCACATTGTCCAAGGTCACACAGCAAGACTCACAGCTTGACTTTATACCTGTCTCCCCAGCTTCAGCGGTAGATGGACATGCAGATAACTACTAAATTACCATAGGTTTGACTCTATCCTGTGTTATACATTGAAGGGGAAAGAGCTGGAGGCCTAGGGCAGGAAGGACACTCGGCTGGGGTCACACAACAAGCTGGTAACTGTGTCGCAGCTCTCTAGCTGTGTACCCTTAGTTAATAATAAGGGAGGTAATCTCAGAGAGTGCCAGAGCTCACCTGGGGACTTTAAGCGTCAGCTGGAATCAGCCTTCCAAACCTCGGCCCCGAATCAAACTGGCAATAGGACATTGGGCCTCACACTCGCCCGTCCCCATTCAAACCTGACCCAGAACCTTGGTGGATTTTAAACCCGAGGGAGAGATTCTCAGGCTGACCCCTGTGCCCTCTCCAGTCCCCACCACTTCCCACTGGAACAACGCAGACCCGAAGCCTCCCCAGGGCTTCTGGCACCGGGGCCCACGGAGGCAGGACCCTGGGGAAGCAGCTCCGCAAGTCTCGCCCCGGGGTGGCAGTGGGGGACCGGGGGCCCATCCTGCCCTTGAAGACGGGTGGGGGAGGAAGGTGCCTCGGTGCACCCCCCGGCGGGAGGCCCACTGGATCAAGCCCAGCACCCAGGAGCCGCCTCAACCTGCTATCCCCCAACCCCGCACCCTCGTGGGGGCCCCGCCGGGCAAAGCAGTTCGTCCGGCGCGCGACGGGTCCAAGCCCACAGCCCCGCTTCTGAGACGTCCGGAAGGCGGGAGTCAGGCGGCCTCCTGCCCCGAGAGGGATCGCAAGGGCCCTAGCCCGCCCGGCACACAGAAGGCGGCCGGTGGGTGTTTGCAGCTGGGGCTTCGCAGGTCGGAGAGCTGGCCCGGCAGGGGCCCCGAGGAGAAGGGAAGCCCCCATCCTGAGCCTAGGGCAATCCCATCCTTGTGTCTGCAGCCGCTGTCCAGAGCTTCCTTCGGGCTCCGCGGAGCGCCTCTGTCTCTTGGCTGGCTGCCTGTGCCCGTCTCTGGGCCTGGATCGACGGTAGTCTGTGGCTCTGCCTCCGTGCTGCTCTTGCTGCGGCTCTCGGTCCACCCCAGCTCTAGCCCGGGGTGGGCTGTCCGGCTGCAGCCCGGCCCCTGGCCTAGAGCGCCATCTGGTGGGCATGTGGAGAGTTGCCACGGTCCCCGGACAGGGCTCGCTCCAGGTCCGTTCCTGGCCGGGAGCTGAGGAAGGTACCAAAAGGAGGGGCCTGGAGAAGAGAGGCGGCCGCCGGCTCTGGGAACCTGGTGCTTCAGGAATGAGTGAGAGGTGGGGTGAGCGGGTCCGCGCCTCCAGAGAACCCAAAAGGAGCTCCAAGGGCAAATCAAAGTCCCCGGCGCGTTCAGACGGAGACAGGAACGTATTCAGTGAGGGTGACCAGGCTGCACTGCCAAGGGCCCTCCTGGAGGAGTGCCCAGAGAGGACCCGGAGCTCAGGGTCCTCAACCTTTGCCCCCTACCCCGGGCGCTCACAGCTCTCCCCTCTGCTGCCCAGGCCCTAGAGCACGGAGCCCTTGGCCCCTCGACGGACCTTGTATGCCGGGCTGGTGCTACAGACTTTGGGGTCCAGAACGGCGAAGGAGAGGACAGAGTGGGATTGGATTTGGGGTACTTCCTAGAGCAGTGAGGAAGGCAGGCTCAGAGTTTAAACCTCGGTTTCATCGAGACTCTGTCCCTTGAACCGTCCTATACCCGGGAAACGGGGGTGGGGGTGGGGCGGGCGGGGAGGGGCCTGCAGCTGGGGCTTTCACCTGTGGGTGTCATGTGGAGCACCAAGCTGAACGCGCCCCTCTGTCTGCAAGGTGTGGCCTGCGTGGGCATTCGCGGTAAGCTGCGGAGGCGGGTCCCAGTTCTGGGCCCTTGGGGAGGACAGGGCGGGGCCCCTGATGCTCAAGAGTTTCCACGGCAGCCTTTTTGGGGGTTGGGTTGGCGGGGGTGGGGGTAGGGGTAGGGGGATGACTTGAGGGCTCGGGAGACTGGGATTGGCAGAACAGGAAACGAGTCCCCTAGGTCTCGCACTCCTCGCTGCCCATCCGCTAGGGGTCTCACGGAGCCCCCGACATCCACACCCCTAGCCTCCAAGCTCCCCTGTGAATCACACTCACAATCCCACGCCGACACGTACAATTCCCTCTCACACCCCGCAGTCCCAACGCACAGGGCCTCGCGGCGACACACCAGGTCAGCAAGCCCTCCACACTCGTCCGCTGGGGATTCTGCCGTCTAGGGCGCCTGGTGCCAGGCCCTGAAGGGTTAAGGAGGCCTTGGGACACCGGAGCGGCGGGACGCGGGGCGCCTGGGCTAATTGGCGACCCCGGGAACAATGAAAGCTGGGAGGCGGGTGGCTTAATTGGGCCAGGGAGCGGCCTGGCCTTTGTCTGGGACTCGACCGCGTGGTTCCCGCAGCCGAACTTAGGCTCGCAGCTGGGACCCAGCGCAGAGGCGCGAGGGAGACTCAGGGAGGGGACTGTGCGGTTGGGGGTCAGGGGGGAAGGGGGGACGACTCTCCAAGCTGCGCTCGGGGCCCAGGGCCTCTGGAGGCCCTGGAGTATCACTCCACCCCACCCGGGGCGCTGCAGCCACCACGCGGTGAGAACGCGGCCGCAAACTGGCCGCTCTGCCCGGCTTTGACAGCGACCCTCCTCCGGTTTCCCATCTGCCCGCGGGCCCGCCCGCGGCTCCGGGTTGGTGCTGCCCCCTGGTGTCAGCAGCTCGCTCTGCAGCCTCTTCCCAATTCTTCCTAGACGGGCTGACAGTGAGAAACCGGAAGAAACCAACGCGCCCCTCTTCGAATTTTAGAGGCGTTTTTAGCCCAGAGCGACCTCGAATAAACACACTGTCCACAGAGGATTTTATTTGAGCTGAGAAAAGGGCCTTTCTGCCCCACCTTGTTCCTGAAGTGCCCGCCTCGCTGTCCTGCACGCCCGAAGGTCAGAGGCACGGAAGCCGGAGCCCACCATCCGAGAGTGGGACAGTGTTCTGGCCCTCCCACCGGTTCACTGGCTGAGCCCCTCGCCGAATTCAGCGTGACCTGTGGCCAGCTCCCTACCTGGAAGAGGCAAACATGATTCTCTTCCTTGCAAATGTGTCGGCCCAAGAAGGTGTCCTGGGAGCTTGGAGGCCAATTCCACCTCCGCCTTCACCCTTCCTCCATCTCACCATCCTTGATGGCCCCGGTGAACAGGAAGCCAGAGTCTCTCGTCCCCCGAAGTACCCAAGTTGAGCGTCCTGCTGGGCCAGGGTGTTATGGATCTCCAAGGCTTAATGAGGAAGGAACCGGGTTTGAAAGAGTGACCGCCCGTCTCCCATCCCTTCCACTGCTAGGATTTGGGGCTGGTGACACCTGTTGGCTCGGTGAAGAAGAGAGAAGATTCCGCCCTCATGGGATAGGGACAGGAGGCAGCTGTCCTCGCAGACGTGGGCCACGGGGAAGGAGGCCTAATGGAGACTGACGCAGTGGGGCTCCCTGAGAGACCACCATCTGAACCCATTACTATACAAGGGGAAAGTGAGGCAGGAAAAGAAAGAGCCTAGTGACCCTCACTCCCCACACCCCCAAGAGGGATTTAGATGATTTCCACGGGAGAACTTTCAGGCTAGACTTTGCCACTCTAGTCAACAACCCTGATACGGAGAGAACGTTTCTTTTTGAGTTTCAGGAGACAGAGCGATGGAAAAGGATTCTAGGGTCCGCGGTATATGGGGGACCATGGCCAAACCCCTCCTCCGAAGGGAAAGAGGGGGCAGGCAGCACCTATCTTATCAGCCCCACCTACCCACAGGCTCTGAAAGGGGGTGCAATTCCACTGTGGTGCCCCGGACTGGGAGCGGGAGGCCAGGCGCGGAGTGGCGGGAGAGGCGGACAGAGGCTAGCGGCCAGAAGAGGGAGCCCGGCCCCCGGCCTGGGACGCGGACGCGCTGGGAGCGCGGGGGCTCGCGGTGGCTCGGCGCCGCCCGGCCCAGCCCGCAGCCCGCGCCGGCGCCGCCCGGCCTCGCAGCTCAGCTCGCTGCCCCAGCCTTGCAGCCGCCCCCGGGGAGCAGCTGCCGCCGAGCCCGGGGCGCCCAACCTTCGGTCCCCGCCTCCAGTCCCGCCTGACGCGCTTGCGGCGCCCCTGCCCCACGCGACCCACAGAGCGCACTGCGCCGTTCACTTTGCATTGTAGCGTTTTATTGTTTTCTCGAGTTTTTGTCGTTTCGTCTCGCTCCAGAGCGAAAAGTGAAAACCTGAGGTGGAGCCCGCGGGCCGGAAGAGCAAAGCCCGGGCGCAGGGGCCGAGGGGCTGGCGGGGTGGGAGCTCCTCCAGGGATCGGGGCCCTCTCCCGCAGCCAAGGACCCCCCCCAAGCCCTGTACAATATAGATGCTCATGTAAAATGAAAAAAAAATTAAATGCTATGAGTTAATCTCTAAATATTATGTACACAGCAATGTACACCTTTGAATAAATTAATACCAATTTGCATATTCTGGGAACCTTAAAGCTTATTTACACAAATTACCATTTATTTCATAAATATCTTTTTTTTTTTTCCCCCTGGGGACTCAAGGCAGAAGTGCCACTCCCTCTGCTGACCCAGGGGTGGGAGGGGCGCCTGTCTGGGTGAAGAGGTGGAAGGACTAAAAGAACAGGTTCCTCTCAGCTCAAGTCTACACTGACTTGAATCTTCACTGACCCCAGCACCCCTCACCCCAGATTCTCAAGCGGTCCCAGCCCGAGGCTAGGGGTTCTGGGGCTCCCCCGCCTGACGCCTGCACCTTCTGGCTCCCGAAGAGCCAGCCTCTGGCTGGGCCAGGGACGAGGACTCCCCACAGCGCTGGAGGACCCGGAGAGGGCCCCGCCGATGACACCTTGACACGGGAGCAGGCTTGGACCAAATCCAGTGGCTCCAAAGCGACTGCGTTCCTGGCAGCTGGATTCCTTCTGAAGCCCAGGGAAGTGTCCCAGGCCCTGGCTGGCTGATCGGGGCTTCATTCCAGCCTCTGCAGCCCGCTTTTTCTCCTTTATTTAAATAAATACCCATTCTGTGCTGTACATGTCCCAAGCAGCAGGGGCAGGCAGCTCAGGAGGCCTGCGCGGCAGCGGAGCAGCTGAGCAGCCCCCTCACTTGGGCGACTCCCTGCCGGGGGAGAGGGCTCGCTGGCTCTCCAGCCCACTCACCAGCCTCTGGATGCTCTGCAGTTCACTGGCTGCCTCTTTGGCTGAGCCGCTGGGCGACAGGGCCCCGCGGGGCGGGGCCGCCGCTTTGCGGAGAGCCAGCTCGGGCGGCGGGCTGGGCTCCCGGCTGTTGCCGCCTGCAGCCTTGGAGCCCTCGGCCGCCAGCCCAGTAGTGCGGAGGCTAGTGCTAGGTGGGATGGTGACGGGGATCTGGTAGGGGCTGAAGCGCAGGCGCGGCCGGGCACTGCCCAGAAAGGGACTCCGGGATAGGGAGCCTGCGGCAGCAGCGGCAGCCGCCGCAGCACTGGTGGCTGGCAAAGCGGAGGCCGCCGCGGCAGCAGCAGCCATGTAAGTGTAGGGGTAGGGGAAGAGGCCTCCGAAAGTGGGCATTGGGATTCCCTGGAAGAAACAGAACAAGACAAGGGTTAGGCATCCTGCCTGAGGTGTTTCTGCAGGTGATCTGGGCTCTAGGGGTGGTGCTACAACTGGAAATCCTTGCCCTACAGTTTTTAGGAATATGAGACCAGAGCCCACATGACTGTAATCCCAAAAAAGCACAGGTAGGCATGAGCCGGTATGCCTATGGCCAAACCCAGTCAGAAGGGGAGCTCACTTCAGGTTATGACGCACAGACCTGGTGCCATCAAGCTCTGTGCCAGGTATTACAATCGGAGTATGGGAAGGCCATTACAGGCAGCTGAACCAGCATGGGCCTTGAGGGAGGAAACAGGGCTGGCACAGGGCCAGGTGGCCAGTAGGCATCTTTGGCTGTGTTGGGAGGGAGGTTCTGCTCACTTAGAACAGTGTCCTCCCCAGCCTTTCTATCCGCAGGTGCCCCGCGGGGCAGGGGAAGCACAGGCGAGGGGCGGGGCGGGGGCCGGGGGTCTTTGTAAATTCTCCCTTTGCCTGCCCACCTGCTCAGGGGTCTCCTGCCTGGACCAGGAGAAGGATCCAGATGCCAATCAGTTTATAAACTGGCCTGAATACAAAGAACTCCTGGCGGCACCTAAGTGGCAGCTGAGGAAGGAATGCAAGGCCTTTGCCTGTGGAAAGCACAGTAGCTGGGAAACCCTGGACAAACACTGCCTGAGTCCCTGAGGCCCGACTTTTGGATTATCTGACCTTTGAGATAATGTTCACTCCACAGAGTATGTGGGTATGGGGAGGAGGGCAGGAGCTGACTGGGCTGGGCTTCCGGGGGGCCTCAGGCCTGGCTCAGGCAGGGAGAACGAAGAGAAGTAGCTTAGTCAGGAATGAGAAAATATCCTTCCTGAGAAGGTCAAGCCCTACTGAGCATTCAGACATGGTGTCTCAGAGGAAGGAGGGAGGCTTCAGATCTCCCAGGTTTGGGCTCTTCCTGATGGCCAGAGGTGAGCTATCCTGGCTTGAGAACTTAACCATTAGCCGTCCACCAAGTGATGCGTCCTGAGTGCTGAGTACTTCTGCCCTGGCCTTACACCTGTGACCAGGCTGTGTCTGGAAGCCCTGACTTCCCTGTGGCCTCTCTGATGCCCACGCTTATCACTAGAATTTGTCTGAGGAGGAGGCATCACATACACACCGACTCAAGGGTGCAGATTAAGCCTCCAGGCCCTGAACTCCATTTTCTGGAGGCTTCCTTGCCAGCTCAGATCCCCAGATAGGTGATGTTAGTGCCTCAGACACTCACTCCACACACCCCTGACGCGGAGCTCTATTTAAAACTCATTTCAGAATCCCCTCCCCCACTTTAAAAATATTTGCTTCTGAACCAAAGGAGCCTTCTCAGATCTGAACTCCTATTTTCCTTCCCTTAAGATAAGATCTCACGGGTTCAATTTGCCAGAAACCTCAGAGGGAGGAAAATGAATGTAGAGATTCCAAATCTTTCCACAGGGAATATTCCACCCAAGCAACCAAAGAGGCCGCTCTCCCCATCAGATCTTCTTATTTTGCTGCTGGCCACAGTTTCATAAACTTTCCCCTGGGAGCTCAGAATTTCAACTTGGGCCTGGGGAACCGAGCCCCTCGTCTCTGAGACCATGTGGCTGGGAGAGTTGGGAAACCCGGTGTGGGGGAAGGGAGAACCCAATCCTTTGTCAGGGCAGAGGACTTCCTGGAGGGTCTGAAAGGGGCCAGAGACATCTGGGAGGTGGGTCATTTGGGTGGTCAATTATCCAGAACATATTTCAAATTTTCCTACTCCTTTTGTCCAGCCACCTTAGCCTTTCAGGGACTGACAGTGAGGCAGGGATCTTTGTTCCCAAGAAAAATGTCCTGAGGCAGGCCAGGCAAGGGGACTTACAAAAGCCCGTGGCAGCCCCAGTCTGCCATAGCAGAAAGAGTCTAACGGGTACCACTCTATGCTAGGGTTATAGGGAAGGAAATAGGCCCAGAGAGGGTTAGGGACACAGGAGTCAGAAGCAGTGCCCTTGCAGACCCTGGACCTACAGTCCTAGTCTCCCTGAACCTAGGTGTGTTCCAGAGGGTCCATTGGGTCTCCCCAGGAGGGAGTCCTTGCCGGCTGGAAGCACTGGAGCGCCTATGGCATCCTCAGGCCCTATGCCTGCCTCCTCTGCCCACCTCAGTCCTCCTCCCTCCATCGTGCTGCCACCAGCTCACAGGCCTTACCTGAGATGCCAGCATGTGCTGGGAGAGGTGGAACGGGAAGGGCCCGGCGGTGCTTGCCGCGCTGGCTGCGGGACCCAGCCCGCCTGCGTCCAGCCCGGTGGCTGTCCCTGGTCCGCCACCTCCTCCACTGCCGCCGCCTGCCACCGAGGCCAGTAGGTGGCCCATGCCCATGGCGGAGAAGGCGCCGGGGCCCATGGCGAACTGTCCCGGGTGCAGAAAGAGCGGCTGGCCGGCCCCCAGAGGCCCGAAGAACTGCTGCCCGTGCAGGTGGCCGGAGAAAGCCAGGCCCGGCAGGTGTCCGGCGCCCAGGGGGGACGCACTGTCTGTCTGCACCACCAGTGGCGCCAGGCCGGGATCCTTGCCCTCGCCGGCCTCCTTGCGCCCCTCGTCCTTCCGCCGGGCTTCGGCGCGCTCCTTCTCTAGGCTCCGCAGGCCAAACAGGCCGTCCCCGCCGCTCTCGGCCGGCTCCTTGGCCCTCTCGGGGCTGCGCCGCTCCCGGGCGCGCTCGGGTTCGGTCAAGCGAGGGGGGCTGCCGCCGTCCAGGGCCGGGCTGCGGCCTAGCGCCTGCCCCGCGCGCTCCTCGCTCAGCCTCTCGGGCTCTGGGTCACTGTCCGCGGCGCACGACTTCTCCTCGGCTGCGGGGAGAGAGGGCGCGCGGGGTTACGGCCTGGGAGAGACAGGCGCGAAGCCTCTCCCGGTGTCGGCGCCGGGCCGGAGAGACGTGCGAAAGCCTGCTCTCGGGGAGGCCAAGTCGGAGGAGCTTCTAGGGGCTCGTCGGGCTAGGGGCAGTTGTAGGTCACCTCATCCAAGACCCCTTATGTGCAGTGGGAGAAAGTGAACCCGGTAGAGAAAACCTTACTGCGCCAGAGTCACCCAGCGCCAGGGCCCTACCTCGGAGCCCAGCAGGATCTGCGGGCCACCTGGGACCGCCCTCACAGGAGAGTCCTGGGTTAGAGGCCTCCCAGGCTCACTGCTGACGCTTCTCCCACGCCTTAAGTTAGCCGGATGTGGAGCACCGAGCCACCTGGCGCCCGGTGGACACCCGCCCCTTCTCTTCCCCGCCAGATCCGCACCTCTAGTCCGGTGCAGGCGCAGGGGACTAGGCGCTGTCCCCGGGGAGGGTGGCGGTTCCCGCGCGGGGGGAGGGTCGCAGGACGAGGCGTCCGATTCGGCACCGTCGCGCTCTGGCTTGCAGTGCTCCTCGTACAAGCGCAACGACGGCAGCGTTAGCTGCTTCCTGGGGATAAGCGGACGGAGCGGGTCAGAGCGCAGCGCAGCACCCCCACCGCCCCCTTCCACGTCCTGTTCCCCCAGGCACCGCCATAGGCCGGTCCCGTACACCCTCACCTTTTCTCCCGCCGGCCATTCCCGGTGTCCCGGAAGCCTTTGGCAAACGGGTTGTTGTCGATCTTAAGCTGCGTGATCTGCGGGGACCGAGGGGGTGGCGCCAGGTCAGGATGCGGCTCTTCCAGCCTGGCCTGGGGCACCCGGAGGTCAGCGGCTGCCCACCCAGAGGAGAGCCCGGGAAGTGCACACTTGGTACCCGCCCACCTGGGATAGGACGCTCCAAGCCACAAGGCAAGGTGAGGCCGGCGGGCGGGCCTCGAGGAAAGCGACCTCCAAAAACCTTATTCGAGGCATAATCCCTCAACTTGCACACACAAGCCCAAAGCTCTGCGTCCAGAGTCGAAATCCGTCCAAGCGTGCACACAGGCCCACGAGGCCACTCAAGTTAAACTAACCCGGAACCTGAGCAGGGCGCAGACAGCAGAGCACACGCAGGTCAGCAGACACACACAAAGTCAACCACACTCACGGGCCGCGCACATGCAAGTACACACGGGCAAAACAAGTGCCCAGGAAACCAAACGAATTCACACGCCTCCACACGAATCTAAGGCACTCCAAATGGTGCACGCATATCCGCGTGGGACAGACACATCGGTTCACAAGGACGGAAAAAACGACCCGGCAGGACACTCAGACACTGTCGTTCACCCGAGAGTCGTGCACACGGGCACAGGCCTAGTGGGGTGGTGATTTGCCTCTCTAGAGAGAGGGTGTAGAAGGGCAGCAAGCAGAAAAGGCCCTTTCACTTGAAGGAAAAGTCTCTAAGCACCTCCCAAGGGGTCCCGGGCCTGGACTGACCCAGAGAGGGACGGCGGGGTGGGGGCTGTCACCTGTCCCGCCCTCTGGCTCCCCCAGGAGAGTGAAAACTGGGCCCCCTGTTCCTAGCGTTGGGTTCCTAGCAGCAGGAATGCCTGGGCAGATTGCCTCCAGCGCCCTCTTTTCATTTCAATTCCCATCCCTGAGCCAAGAAATAAACGAATAAAATGTAAAAATGTCAGCACGGCCCCGGAGTCTCTGCTAATTGCTAAGTAAATATCCCCACCCCAACGAGCGCCCAGCTGCTCGCGCGCCCGGGGGAGCTCGTGGGTATGTGTCGCGGGCTTGCGAGAGAGCCTGGGGGATTTCGGTGGCTGCTGCGCTTACAGACGTCAGGCTTGGTGCTCGGGAGTGGGCCGTGAGGGAGCCGGGGGCTGCGGGCAGGTGTGAGTGGAGGGCTGGAACCTGCACGTGGGGAGGGCGTCGGTGGAGGGGCTGGGCCCGCCACCGGTCCCGCGCACCTTGTCGTTCTGGTAGGCAGTGACCGCGATGAAGTCGGTCTCGGGGAACACGTAGGTACGAAAGGTGCTGTAGGGCAGCTTCAGGATGTCGTTGGCTCGCACGATGTGGAAGCGTGGTTGGTACTTGTGCATGGAGTTCAGGATGGTCTGCGGGGAGGGCGCGGGTCAGCCGACAGCACCCCCCCCCGCCAGCCTGTGACCCGAGCATTTCTGTTCTCTGGGGACCCGACCTCTTTCCATCTCTCTCTATCTCTCTCAGGGTTTTGCCTTCCCCATTCCAACCCCCACCCTTCCCCGTTTTCTCCTGTCTTCTCCGCTTCTTTTCGCTCCTATATTACTTTTTCTTTTTTCTCTCAATTTTCTTCATCACAGTTTCTCTCCATTAAAAAAAAATTTACCCCAGTTGAAAACAGAAATAAAACAAAATAAAAATCCCTACAATGCCACTCCTAACCTCTCTTCCTGGGCTCACTGCTAAGACCCTAGTAACGCCACGGAGAGAAGACTGGGACCTTCGAGGGCTCACCGACTGCCCTACGTCCGGACAAGGAGTCCCTTCTGCCCCATGAACTTCCCCCCTCCCATTCGCTGGGGCCCTCGCTCAGGCAGAAACGATGAGAACCCCAAACTCCCTCCTCCTGGTCGGGCAATCTGCCTGTGGGAGGAGGGAAAGGAGTCTCAGAAAAGGTATGGAGGGGGCTGTTTTAACTTTTAAATCTCCTCGTTTGGGGAGAGGGATGGGAACCCAGGTCTTGTTCACGGGGAAGGGTGAGGACAAGCTGAGGTCCTGGGCAGGGCTTCCAAGCTCAGAAGACCAGCGGCTGCACGACACAGTTCTGGCCACACCTGCCTCCCGCTGGACCCTAGGAGGGGCTTTGGAAGGCCTGAAGAGAGCTGAGGCTGTGAGCAGCCTGGAGCTTAGCGGTCCCCAACCCCCCATTCTCCAGGCTTGCAGAGCAGAGCCCTCTGGGCCCAGGCCCAGCCGGCATGGGCCACAGGGCAGTGACCTGGGCAGGGGCACCCTGCAGGTTCGGCAAGCGTTCCCCTCTGGGGAATCCTGCGGTCTCCTCTCCTCCCCCCACCCCCTGCAGTGCCCGGTGCTCAGTGTCCGACCCCCATCTGCACATCCGCCCTGCACTCACGAAGCCGTGCTTGTCGGAGATGTTGTTGGTCAGCTTCAGCTTATGGAAGGCCACCGGCTTGGCCATCCACTGCTCTCCCGTGGCTGGGCTGTCCGGGTGGATGTACATCCGTTTGGGCATCTCTGGGTCGGCCTTGCCCGCCACCATCCAGCGCGAGTTATGGAATTTATACCGGCAGTCGTCAGCGGCCACGATGTCCATCAGCAGGATATATTTGGCCTTCTTGTCCAGGCCGCTGACTCGCACCTTGAAGGGAGGAAACATCCTCCTGCAAGAAAGGGAAAGATGGAGACGTCATGGGACCCGGCTCTCTGTTGGAGGACCCCCCCACACACACCATTGCCTGGAGCTTCCCCACCTGTGTTCCGCTGTTGTCCCTGCTCTCCCCCTTAATACTGCCTGGGAGACACCACCTGCGGTTGTTATTCCTGGGAGGCCCCATTTCTGCCTGTCAAGACCCTCTCCTATTATAAGGCTTCCCATCGGCCCTATGCTCAGATCTAGTGACCCTCTTTCTCCCTCATCTGAGATGAAAGCTGAGGTTTCAAGAAAGAAATCCAGGGCCTTTATAAATACACCCGCTTCTCTTGACTCTCCCTGAAATCCGTGCAGGGGATATATCCACTTGGGACCGAAGCTCTCAGAAATAAATTCGGATGTTGTTTGTTTGGGGGAAGGAACTGGGTTACAGCGCCGAACAAGGACCCTGACCCTGAAGTTCGGGGGAAGAGGGTGAGCCTGAGGCCTGGATTCTCCGTATCTGAATCAAAGGCTTGAGTGGCTGGGGATTGTAGTTTTCTTCCGGCCTTAAGGCCTAGGGCGACGTGAGCATCTGGAGGTCCTCGCTCCTCGGCGCGGACAAGGCTCCAGGCCGGGTCAGGCTGCAGCTGGGCCGGTTCGGGGCTCGCTGCCGAGAACGCAGCGACCGGCGGGAACCAGTGGGCCAGCCTGGGCCTAGCAGGGTGCGAGTCTCATTCTGGGCTCCAGGGTCGGAGAAGAGTGCGGGAGACGCTGCATCTGCCCGGAGCACCGAGCCAAACTCGCAGGCAGGAGAGCGAGGCCGCGGGGCTGAGTTGCAGCCGAGACCGCTGGAGAGCAGCCAGGGCCGAGCCGCGGGGCCTCCTCGGCTTTGAGACTCATAACGATTGGGGCTATTTTGCAGGAGCATATTTTCGTTTTCATTTGGGAGATTTCGATGCTTTGGTTTAAAAAAATTCGTTCGCTGCCAAATAAGAAAAGTCAACTTGGTTGTCTAAGCGTGGTGCGGGGGCCCGAGCGAGCAGGGAGCCGCGAGCGGCGGGCTCGGCGCTGGTGTGTGCCGTCGGGTGCCCCTCTCGCCCACCCGCGCGCCCTCCGGCCAGCCGGCTGCCCTACCTCCCGGACTTGGTGATGACCATCTCGGTGCCCAGCTTGTGGAACTGGTCCCACAGCTCCTTGGCCTCCAGCGTCACCTTGGGGTCGTCCTCCACCTCGTCCTCGGGCTCCAGGCTCTTAAGCGAGCGCAGATGCGCAGCGGGCGGATGCGGGCCGAGTGCCGAGACGTGCAGCCCCGCCTCGGCCGCCGCCGCCGCCGCCGCAGCCGCCGCCGCCGCCGCCCCCGCCAAGCCGGGGTCGGGCAGAGGCTTGGCCAGCGCGCCGGGCGGCAGTGCGAGCGCCGGGAAGAAGGAGGGCTGCGCCGCCGCCAGAAAGGCGGACATGGGGAAGTCGGCCGGCCGTGGCGCGTGAAACGGGTGGTAAGCCATGGCGCTGGCCGCCAGCGCCGGCTCTCTCATCGGGACATCCGGCCCAGGCGCCCGGGGGCCGGGGCCGGGGGCGCGCGGCTCGGACCCCCGGCCCGGGCGGCGGCGCGCGCGGAGGAAGGGCGACCCGGGTGGCAAGCGCGGTGGCAGCTCCTCCCGGTTCCCCGTCCGGCGCACGGCGAGGGACGCGGGGCTCTGGGCGCGGGGGCGGCGGGGGCTCTGCGCGGGGCTGGGCTGGGCTGGCCCGCTCCGGCGCCGGGGACCACGCGCGACTGGTTAGATCTTGTCGTGATCTCTGGAAAACTGTGACTATCTCACATGTCCTGCCCTGCTCGGATCCCCTGCGCTAACGAGCCAGGCCCCCCTTGATTGCTGATTTTACGCTTTTTGGACCAATTGTGGGTCTCCGGGGGCGGGGTTTTGACAGCTCAGGCCAAGCTCCGGCCGGGAGGGGGGGCCGGGGAGAAGGTGTCGGAAGCCTCAGCAGTAAGAAAACATGTCAACAGAATAAAATATTAACCAATGACGGGCCAGCGAGCCCCGAGACCCCTCCCCCTGCCCCGGCCCCCACCCCGCCGCCCGCGCCCGCGGTTGCCTGCGCCCGGACAGGAAAGCGCGGCGGGCCGACCCGACTTGCCGAAAGGGCCTGAGGCGGGGGGCGCCCGGGTCCCAGGGCCCTGGGGAAGGACCCCCAGCCGCAGGCCGCCCCAAGTGCAAAGCATTGACACGGCCCAGAGAGGAGAGGGGGCGCCCTTCTTCTCCCGCGCCCGGCGGCCCGGCAGCTCTGGCCCGCGCCCCAGCTTGGCCTCCGACCCCGCTCCCGGCCGTGGCGCCGCCCGGGCCCCTGCACTCCGGAGGGAGGCTGCGGGTGCTGGAAAGAGAGGCCGGTGGGCGGGCGAGTCGGGAGGCGCTGGCTGCCGAGGTCCCGGAGCGGAACCCAGGTGGCGGGAGCCGGTGAGTGGAGCCGTGGCAGAGCCCTGGAGGGGCCGGCGTGGGCGGGAGCGGGACGCGGCCTTTCACTCGGGAAACGCGGGGACCCCTTAGCCTGCGCCTCCCCTCACAGGAAGACTCAGGAGGAACCGGGAGTTCCGGGAAAGCCCTGGACTCAGCCCCGTATCCCCCTGCGTCCCCGACCTAAGCAGAGCTCTCCCACTGCCGGGAGAGCGGGTCCTCGGGGCTGGGAAGGTGTGAGTGCACCTTCCGCCGAGCACAGGGCGGCAAGGCGCGGGCGGATCCAGCCCCCAGGTTCTTGACCCGCGACCCAACGAATTTTCGCCGCATCCGGTACCAAAGACACAAGTATCCCTCATTCCAAACACCGGCATCCTCTCTCCTCCACTTTCCTAGAATTTGTTTCCAGCTCTCGAAAGCTCACGACTCCCAGGTTCAGTAATGCCGAGTAACGAGTGTGGGGGTCTGAGCGTCTGTGCGCACCTGCGGTTGAGCCTCCACCCCCCACCCCCTCCTACCCCCGCCTGCCGCAGTCGTTCTCAGGCACCACCAGTATTGCCTCCCGCCCTTGGGGTGTGTATGTGTTTGTGTGTGTGTGTGTGTTTCGCGCCCACTGTGGTGGTGCCGTCTGTGCGCAGCGGGAGCCGAACTTAAGGCGTGCGCCCAGTGAAGCGGCTACACACCTGCCTCGAATCAGTCTCAGGCCTGACACTGATTCCTGGAGGTCGCGTTCTGAAGGCAAGACGGACCACGCACTAGACACGGGTGACACTCCTGCCCGCACAACCAATGCAAAGGCGGGTGAGTTCTGCCGGAGCGGGTTTGCGCCGGCGTTGTGGGCGCGTACAGCCCACATCAAACAGTGTCCCATCCGCTGCGCACACCAGTCGCGGGGAATCCTGTCGCTGCACACGCAGACCTGCCGTGTAAAATCTGATCACCCCGGCAGTGCGGGTTGGGGACCGGCCGGAACGGTTTGGCCTCCCCGAACCTTTTTTCTACTTTTCTGAGCCGACCCCGGAGAGCTCGCTACCCCCCTACCCAGCGTGCAACAGGGCGCCGCCCCCAAAGGGTTTTTCTTCACGACCTCACTCTCTACTGGGTCGCTCCTCTCTTAGTGCCTCCTCTCTGTCCAGAACGAATCTTCGACTCCGCGCTGCGCAGTCTATGCAGCCGGGGCAGGATCCGTTGCAGCTTTGCACAGGCGAAGTCCTGCCGGCTCCGTCTTAGGCGAGATGTTGCCCCTGGGGATGGATGTGTGTGGACAGGTTTGAGCAGTTGGTGAGGTGACCAGATAATAGCCAGGGCAGCGTTCCGGAGCCAGGAATCCGGGCACAGGCCTGGGAATCCGTGCATGCACTCGCAAAGTCGTGTGTGTACACGTACTTTCGAACTTGCAAGAATGGCGTGTAGTACACCTAAGTGTGTGCAATTTGGACATTTTCCTGGAGAAGGTCTGTAGCTGGTCCGGGGTCCAAGGCCCAGGCAGTCTGAAACACGCTGGTACGGGTTGTTCGCCCAAGAAACCCCGCGGAGACGATGCAGCGGCTGCATTTGGGGACCACAATCCCACCTGGCCACAAGCACTGGGCCACGGACCTGCCCTCCGGCGGCCACAGGCTCTTTCCCGGCCCGGACCCCATCATCTGCCCTGCCCCGTCGTCCCGCAACCAACCCGAGGTCGCTACAGCCGCTCTTAATATTCCGAATTTCCATCCCCCTATCCCCCTACCCCCAACACCTCCAGCCAAACTCTCCAGCGAGGAATATCCTTGGCTCAACGAAAACCCGCGAAGGGGAGGCCCAGGAGGCCCTGGTGCTGCGCCGTGCGGCGCCCATGTCCCGCTCGGCCCCTCCCCCACCACCCCCCGGGTCTGACCCTCCTCTTCCCGGGGACAGGCGCCTCTGGGGGGTCCCCGGGGGCTGAGAGTGCGTGTCTCTTTAAGAGGCCCTGGGGGGCGCCTCGCGAGCCGCCCGGGGCTGGAGGGGGAGGGCACGAGCGGGGGCGGCTGGCGCCAGGCGGCCGAGGCTCCACAGCAAAGCTCCGGCCCCTGTCACTTCGCATCGGCCGGGCCCCGCAGACAGGCGGGGGACGCGCGCTCAGCCGCCCCTCCCTCTCCCAGGCCGTCCAGGGCCCGGGCGTCGGGCGGGCGTGGGCCTCGGGCCTCCGGCCCGTTGCACGCGCTCAATAAGCGCTGTGCTTCCCGCAACCCGGAAATCGGGCGGGGGCGGCCTGGGCCGGGTGTGGCCGTGGTCCCGAGCCTGGCCGGGCCGCTGTCCGTCCTTGGCCCCCCCGTAACCTTTCGCGAGGTCAAGGGCCACTGCTGGGACCTTCCCGGAATTGGTCCCCGCCCGGTGTCTTGGTCTGTGTGACTGGGCGTGGATCTGCGTGCTCCTACGTGGAGTGATGGCTTGGTGTGTATGGTCCTGTGGCAGAGGGGACGTGCGTCCGGGTAGCGGGGCGCTGCCGTGAGACTGGTACTGAGTGCGCGGTGGTTTATGAGTGTGCCCGGGCTAAGCTCGGGTGCCGTGTGTGGCCCTATGCCGGTGACCAGTAGTGGAGGTGCCACTGCGCGCGTCCATCCTCGTCTTGGCCTGTGTGTGTAGGAAGAAGGGGAGGGAGAATAGACAGAGTTGCTCCCCATCCCCGGCTTCCCGGCCGGACCCGCGCCTCCCGGAGCCTTGGCGCCAGCCAGCCCCGTTTAGTGGCCGGCCCGGCTCCCCCGCGGTCCCGGGTCTGGCTGGGGTGGGGGCCGCGGCCTCGATGACCCCGGCCCGCAGCGGCCCGGCCTGTCCCGTCCACTTAGACAAATTGCGGCTGACAGGCTCGCAGTCTCTCTGGAGTCGCCGCCCGTCCGTCGCCTCCCTCCCGACCCAATTACCCCGCGCAGGGTCGGGCCAAGTGGCTGGGATGGGGCGGGGGGGGGGGGGGGGGGCTCGGGGAGAGCGGGAGGCGCGACCTCTTCCCGGCTGCGTTGTGGCCCAGGCCTTGCGCCGGGACAGGCGGCGGGGCCACTTCTTCGGATCATGTCCCTGGAAGTGCCTGGGCAGCACGGCCTCTGCGGCCCAGTCCCCAGTCTTCCAGGCTGACGCGAAAGCAAGGCCCAGGCTGGCAGCTCTGGCGCGGGACAGCCCTGGCCCTTGAGGGTCGTCGTTGTGCACCTGAGGGCAAGCAAGGTCACAGGGCCCGGCAACCCAAGACTCATTCCCGCCGGATTTGGGACGACTTCCCCAGAGTTCTGGGGATCCCATAACCCTGAGAGCTCCGGACTACTCTATGCTCTGGGGTCAAGGTCCTCGGTTCGCAGCAGTCTGCTTGGGACGCAGGGGTCGGTAAAAGTGAGGTGCACATCTGTGAACCTGCCAGTGCATGGACGAGCACGGGTGTGAGGTCATGGGTGTGGGTACCTGGGATCGTGGCAGAGTGAACAGGCCACGCTGCTGTGTGGCTTGAGAGAGGGGGCAAAGCACAAGGACCCCCCCCTAGGACCAGCCCACCTGCGAGAGAGGGGCGGGGCTGGCCTGCGCGCGCTCACCAGGCTCTTGATTAGCTTTTGCAGAAATGCTTTCGCCTGGAGCAGGGCCATGATTCCCTGGAGCAGCTTCGGGGGTAGTTCTTGAAGATCCGGGCGGGCTCCAGCGTCGCCTCACCTGCCCTCCCTCTCCCCGCCAAAGAGCTACCTGGCCTCCGGTCAGCCTCTGGGCCTCTAACCAATCTTTCGCTTTTTTGACCTGCAGCTTCCTCTTTGCCTCCTTGGACCTTGTTGCTTTTCTCTGCTGGGTGTGCTCCCCTCCCCCCACTTTACAGATGAGCCCAGAGGTGCAGTAATTTACCCGAGGCCACACAGCTACCGGTGGCAGAGCTGGGATGGGACCCAAGGATCTTAAGAAACAGCAAGGCCACTCCTTAGAAGCTGGTGATGTCATTGCTGTCCCACTAGCTACACCTGCTCCTGCAGCAGTGCAGTACTGAGACTCCAGGGCCCCACCCTCAGGCTGGGCTCTGGCTTTGAATACAAGACGGTACAAGATGCTCTTCCCTTTTGCCCCTAGAGTTCCCAGCTCTAGGTCTGCAGGAGGGTGCTGCCTTCTCAGTTACACGGGGACAAAGGAGCAGCTATGAAGCTAGCCAGGGGCCAGGGCTGGATGCTCTTAGGAGTAGGGAATGGGGGTGAGTGGCCTCAGAGTCTTGGACTGTGTGCGGGCCCAGGACAGGGAGGTCAGTGCAGAATGCAGTTCCTCTGAGGGAACTGGCCTGGGCATGTGAGGCAGCATGGAGCAGACAGGGGTCAGCAGATTAGCTGTGTGACTTCTTAACCTTGGGCGAGGCTTCTTTCAGGCTCAGGTTTCTCATCTGCAAAACGAGGACCAAATAGCGCTCTTTTGGGTGCCGTCTAGTT